TCGGCGGTTAGATAACGGTAATACGGTCCAGCAAGCAACAGAAAATTAATAAGCGGTAAGCGGTAGCAATAACCAGTGAAGAAAGCCCAGGCGGTGCAAAGCGGAAAAATCAGGTGGCGATAGGATGGTAAAACGGGATCCGGAGTATCTCGCCTTGCAATTCGGACTGTCCTCTAAGTTTTATATGTCCTGGTGACCGACGTTGGCGGACTCTCAGTGTACAACGCTTCCCGGTCTGATAGGTATACACGCCGATCAGGGAGAACCGTACGTATAGTATATGGAACGACCCGGAGATTGGGTATACACGCCGAACCTCTAGGTGTTAGTTCGCATATCCCCTATTACTTGGCGTACATCCTGGTGCGGGACACCGGGCAACGCTGTAGTGAACACGAAGGCTTCGTCAAGATTGGGTATACACGCCGAATCCTACGATTGCTCTGTCGTGTGGGTTGAGAAGGACGGTGGAATTTGTGTGCGGGTTACCAAGAATATTCTTCTCGGGCCCACAGTAATTCCACACTTAAAGCGTACAAATCTTTTCGGACTTGTACTCGGTCGGAACGGATAATAATAAAAGGAAAATAATTCTTAATGGGTTCACTGGCTATTCTTGGCTAGCTTCGGTGGCTGCTGGTGGACTTCTGGACGGTATTGAGTTCTGGATAGGAACTCCCGGTGGACTTCTGGTCGGTATCGAGTTCTGGCTAGGAACTGCCGGATTAACACAAGTCGTAGTGGGATCTTCACGTGACTAGCGACTTGTTCGAGTGGGGTAACGGTCGGTCGGACCCGCGAGCGGATATTTGATATATAATTATAGACGCCGGAGTAAAATAGTCCGAAATAAAACAAATATTTAAAAATTCTTAACATAATAAAATTAAAATAAAACAGGATCATTACAAAACGTACATTTTCAGATTTTTTTGACGAAAGTCCATAAATTGGTCATAACATTTCTATCTCCCCCTTTTTTTTTGGTAATAAATATTTTCTAACCATTTTAAAAGAGTTCGTTAAAGCTACTTAAATAACGTTTCAAATAGAGCTGACGACAACTATCTGGCACTGACAGTTCAGTATATATATTTGAAAATGAAGCCTACAAAAATTATGTGTGAAATGTAAATGAAAAATTTATTAATTCAATGGAAGAAATTGCTGAGAACATAAGAAAAGAGGTGCAGAAGGCTTTGGAGTTTTCTAAAAATGAGGCTACAAAACTGTTCGACAATACAACAGACTCAACCAAAAGTAGAATTGAAGAAATTAAAATTAAAGCAAAAACTAAAATGGAAGAGGCCTATGCAGGCGGAAAGGCTGATAAAGACACTTTCAAAAAAGATATTGATAAGATAAGCCAGGAAAATATAAAATCTGTCAAGTCCGCGGAAAAAGAAACTGTCAGTACCTTAAACAATTTATGGAAGAAGTCAAAGACAAAAATTGAAGCTATATATAACGCTTCATTAGCTGCTAAAGGAAATAATGTTCTAGCAAAGACCTTGAAAGAGATTTTAAAATTTGTTGAGAACAGCTTGAAGACTTGTACTAAAGTTATCCATAGTCATTCCCATGACGCTATCAAATACATTAAGTCAACTTCTAAAGATTTTAAAAAAATTTCTTTAAATGCCACGTCAACTTCAAAATAATGTAGGTATTTTTCAACGTTTATCCAATAAAAAAGTACAAAGTACGTGTGTAAGTATGTATGGCAATTTTTAAATTTTTAGATAGAAGTAATATAAATCCTTATGAAGAATATGGGAATTTTAGAATGTACTTTTGTGTGGAATACATACGTGTAATCAATGAACTGGTATTAACCACCAAATAAGAAATTGCAGAACAATTTTTATTTTATACATTTTTCTCAAACCTGCTAAAAAAATATAATGAGAAAATCAATAGCTACTATGTCATTTGTCAAACAAGCACCGTCTGACTTTAATATAATTGTTTACAAAATGTTCTTTGCCATTTTCACATCTGAAATTATCATTCCTAACGTCTATCTAAATTATAATAGTGCAAAATGTCAGTTTTAGAATTATACAAACTTTAAATATGTGTGTGCGGATACTGAAATGCATCGGCCTAAATTTTACTAGCAGAAATGTCTTCAAAAAGTTAGCGCCATCGAAATGTTTTAAATTTTTGTCACTTTGTCAAGTTGTCCCATGTGTCAATATACGAAAATTTAAATGTAATATGTAAAGCAAGACGGACATAAACTTTATTATGGAAAACCGTGAAGAATATGAGTTCCAAGATGCCTTTGATGCATGTAAAAAGGACGCTGAAAGACATTTTGCAAATATCGTTGACGAAGCCAAGGAAAACATTGAGAAAATTAAACACACATCAGCTGCTAAAGTAGAAGAAGCCAGAAAAAACGATTCTTTCAAGAAGGATTTAGAAAAATTTGTAAATGAAAACGTAGAAGAAATAAAATCTATAGAAAAAGAAACTGTCGCTACACTAAATAGTTCATGGAAGGAATCAAAGATGAAAGTAGAAAAACTTTATAACAGTTCGACAACAGCACTAGGTAGTAGCCTTATATTCGATAATATGAAACTCATATTAAATTCCTTTGATCACATACTAAAAAAGTATACTGACATTATACATGAAGTGGTTCATGAAGCCATCAAATATGTAAAATCGATGTCCAAAGAATATAAAAATTTAGGAGCCTCATCAAGCTTACAATAATAAACGTATAAATTAAATATATCACATAGTGACCAAGTGTGTTAATATAAAAATATAAGTACCTACGTTTATGAGTATTATTTTACACTTTCCAAAAACGTGTCAAAAATTCAAATGTCTCAAAATAACTCATATGCCCAGTGTTATGAAGGCTAGTTAACTATTAATCAGAAGTTACCTAGAGTACATTCCAAGTTCAAAAATGTCCTGTTCAACAGGCACACATACATACCGCTTTGGCTTATATATTTTTTAATTATACAGGGTGTTGGGGAAAGTTCGTCCCAAATTTAAGGAGGTGAAAGTAGAGCAAACAATAGTAAAAAAGTTCCTATAAACATTGGTCCTCCGGAGAACCGTTACTGAGATATGGCCCTCCAAAGGGCCATATGCACTTTGCATTTCATTCGATTTTTTTATAACCAGGAGACGCTCTTCTTACACTCGCAGTAGGATTATGTTAAAAGAATCCTAAAATTACTTCGTCTGCTTGGACGACCAAATTCATGATATCTTGGAGTTAGGGCTCCTGATTCCATCGTTCTTGCATGAATTTTCCCAAACAATATTGCAGAAGATTGCCATCTATCAGGGAAACGTTGCCGATATTTTCTTGAGCCGCTAGACTATTTCCATTACAGAAACCATAAATAAGCACAAAGATCGCAATTAAGAAAATAAAAAAACATAAGAATTTAAATGATAGCACGCGAAAGTGGCAATCATTAGTATCATTACCATGAAAGATGCCTACTGTGAGAAAATGTTAAATAAAAGTTACTGTTCTGAGCCATACCTACATTATTTAAAAATTAATTATTTCTGACTAAACTACGCAGAATTAAAAAAAAAAGACATTTTTTTCTTCAAAAACGTCTAATTCATCAAAAAATAATATTATTTGCGTGATAATTCAAAGGAATAAAAAAAATCGAAACATTTCTGCTAAAGGCAGTTAAACAACTACCTTATAACCGATTTTGATGAAACTTGTGGTAGTTAAAGACCCATATGGTATGATTATTACCTACTATTTTCATTCCATTATTTTAATCAGAAAGAAAGATATTTTAAAAAATATCCAAAGAATAAGACCAATGTTTATAGGAACATTTTTTAATATTTTTGGCTCTACTTTCATCTTATTATTTTATAGAATATCACAGATACATATTAACTAATAAAATTAACTCAAAATTGAATGATAAATTATGAATTGACAAGTTGACACAATGTGACAGTTTTTCCAAAGTCATCTCGTGCGACCGAAAATAATAAAGATTAGGTTTTTCCAGAAATGTTGCTATATCTTAAAAACTAACAACTTTAGGTGTAGAACATACTTAATATAAGTTGAAGTGGACCGATATGTGAATAAAACAGAACACTAAAATACAGGGTGTTCCATTTGAAAAATGTTAGAAAATCAAGTTTGAACTTTCTTAAAATGATCGTATTATAAAAAATACCCTGTATGAAATATCCATACTAGCTAATATAGGAGTCTTTGTCTAACATTTGCCTATAACTCTCTCAAATATTTTTGGTCCAAGTGTTAGTAGTTGAAGGTTAATACAACTTCTTCTAGGTCATGCTTTTTCCAAAATTCGAAGAGTTTTCTGCATAACTTGGCAACCCCGCACTAAAGTGTTAAACTGTTTATATTGTCATATATAGAATTTTCTCAAAAATCCATATTTTTAAAAATATGCAGGGTGTTCCATTCAAAAAATGTAATATTTGGCGTTTCCCGTTTTTATTCATCGCCCTGTGTGTTTCAAATTAATTTTGTTTCTTACGTTTTTTGATTCTGTACAACTTTTATATAAACTTTTTTTTTGTTTTATGAATAACAAGGGATTTATTTTACTTTCTCACACTAATGGCCCACCCTGTATGATTTTTGGCGATTTTTCACTATTTTTTTTCCAATTACTCAAGAATTTAGTTTAAGCTAAACGAACTTCAGATGCAGATTCAGCATGAAATCTATTGTATCAAATCAAAAGTGCAGATTAATTTTTTTTATATATGTGCCGGTGTTATTATATCTGTAATATTGTTTTCTATTATCATATTACTTCTAGATATTGTCATACTCTTAATTTTCCTTTACATTTGGTTATTCATTCTGTTAATTTCTCCAGTCTCCTGTTCTTACTCCCCTGATGAAGTTAACAGAATATGCAACGAAACGTCAGGAAATGATAGATGACATAACTTCACGGAATAATAACCAAGAAATTGGAGATGATAATAAAAATGGCACTTACCCTCCGTATACTCCTGTCCTTACTCGACGATCTACCATAACCGTATCTTTGGGGTGGTACCAATCCACTTCTGCTGTATTCCAGGGGCGGCGACACGGGCCTGCCATGCCGATCCATCCATGAACAAGTCTGGCGCATCTGCCAAGGAGCACCCCCACCCATTACTCCTCCAGTTGGTAAAGTCGGTGATCGCACAGTCATGCTCAACTTCCTACATGATTTTAACATCTGGAAAGATTAAAAGTAAGAGTTAATATTGGGATACGAACACAGTGGAGCATCGAGGCTTTAGATTCAGAATTATTATAGCAACTAAATGAGTTGTAATTAATTGTTGAAATTATTACAACAGATCTCTACTACGCTTCGCGCAAGATGTTTTACAAATTTATACAGAAGGACCACACACACAGTTAATGGAGATCAGCAACCCGTCAAATTGTCTGAATATGAAATATGTTATATATAGTTTGATGTCCTGATCAAAAGTTGGCACGGGCCTAAAACCCAAAAATGAATACTTATCGAGAAAAGTGAGTCCCATCGTGGTTATACACATAGTCTTATAGTCTTCTTTACGAAAGAATATTTTTGAAAGAATAAAAAATGTAGGCATAAAGAAAATTGCAGGCGCGGAGTTGGAAAGCGAACGTAAAATAAGAAAAACAGACTTAAAGTAAAAAAGTTGTCAAGAAGCTAAAAAAAAAATCAGGAACAATGAAAGAAAAAGGCAAGCGCAAAGGAAAAAAGCGGACATAAGTAAAGTAAAAAAGCGGGCGAAATGTAAATAAGCGGGCGCAAAGCAAAAAATTACATAGAGTAAAAGTAAGCAGGCGTGTAATAAAAACAAGCAGACCGTAAGTAAGTAAAGTAGGTGCAAGGAAAAATGCAGGCTTACAGTTGATGTAAAAACGGGAATAAAGTAAAAAGAGTATCATAAAAGAAGCATGACTAAAAATGGCAGACGTAACGTACTAAATAAGGGGACAAAAAAACGGGAGTGAAAAGTATAACAAATGGACTTAAACTAAAAGAGGAGGTGCAAACCAAAAATGCGGGCGCAAAGTAGAAAAGCGTAAAGAAAAAAGACAATGAAAGCATACAGAAGAAAAATTTGGCATAAAATAAAAACAACTCACATAGAGTAAAAATTAAGGTAGAAAATAAAAAAGCACGCGCGAAGTAAAAAAACACGCTCATAATAAAAATCGGGCGTAAAAGAAGTGGGACAAATATTGCAGGTGTAATGTATAATAAGATGATAAAAAAATACGGACGAATACTAAAAAAGGGACGTAAACTAAAAGAGCGGGTCTGAAAGTGAAAAAACCCTGTGGAAAAAATAAAGATGATACGTAAAGATGACGTAAAATAAAAAAGTAAGCAGAAAATACGAACGTAAAATCAAAATAAGGCGCAAACTAAAGAAACTGGTGGAAAGTAAAAAACACGAGTAAAGAAAAGCTGACATAAGGTAAAAACAACCGTAGATTAATCTTAATCATAAAAGTTAACATAATGGTTATGCTAACTTACATCAGCTATAAAAACTTGATCTCCAAATCACATAAGATCTCAAACAAGAAACTGACAGAGAACTCACAGAGAAAGAGATAGTGAGACTTTTACTTTCCGTAAAAAAACTATGTAGGTATAAACGCGATAAGATTGGTTCACTTTCATTCCATTCATTTTTGGATCTTGGAGCCATGACAACTTTTGATCAGGATATCTCAAACTATAACATATTTCATTTTGAGACAATTTAATAATAGATTGAATTACGCTGTAAAGTGAATAGCTACACTTGTGTTTGATGTCTACTCAACAAATAACGCGTTATTTGATAAAATAATTTCATCATGGAGATTGCGGTCGCTTTACAGTTGTATTATACATATGAGCGTCAATTATTATTTTATGCTCTTTGCCTAGAATCCGTTTGAAACACTTCTAAAAACTCTATTATATTTTCGTTGGACCACTCCATTTTTGCAACCGTATTACACCATGCTCGAAGCTCTAATGCGTTGCAATAGAGAATGCTAGTGTAGCCACCCACATCCATGCGATAAATGACGCCCAAACCACTTTGATGTGTCAAAAATGACCACCACCAACGGCTAACGCCATTAATAATGACGATGATAAATTAGCGGCTAAGTCATGGTTACACCTACGTTTACTGCAAGATAGTGCGATAATTACCGGCATTAGGCGTTAGTGTGGCACTGCATTATCGCCTAATTGTTTAACGCCATTAATAATGACGATGAAAAATTAGTGGCTAAGTCGTGGTTATTACACCAACGGTTTAATGCAAGATAGTGCGATAATTAACGACATTAGGCATTAGTGTGGCCAGCATTATCGTGTAACGTCTAACGCCATTAATAATGACGATGATAAATTAGTGGCTAAGTCGTGGTTACACCTACGTTTAATGCAAGATAGTGCGATAATTAACGGCATTAGGCGTTAGTGTGGCCCAGCATTATCGCCTAATTGTTTAACGCCATTAATAATGACGATGATAAATTAGTGGCTAAGTCGTGGTTATTACACCTAGGGTTTAATGCAAGATAGTGCGATAATTAACGGCATTAGGCATTAGTGTGGCCAGCATTATCGTGTAACGTCTAACGCCATTAATAATGAAGATGATAAATTAGTGGCTAAGTCGTGGTTACACCTACGTTTAATGCAAGATAGTGCGATAATTAACGGCATTAGGCGTTAGTGTGGCCCAGCATTATCGCCTAATTGTTTAACGCCATTAATAATGACGATGATAAATTAGTGGCTAAGTCGTGGTTATTACACCTAGGGTTTAATGCAAGATAGTGCGATAATTAACGGCATTAGGCATTAGTGTGGCCAGCATTATCGTGTAACGTCTAACGCCATTAATAATGCAGATGATAAATTAGTGGCTAAGTCGTGGTTACACCTACGTTTAATGCAAGATAGTGCGATAATTAACGGCATTAGGCATTAGTGTGACCAGCATTACCATTAATAATGACGATGATAAAAACAGAGTAAATACACCCAGCTTTATTATTTATGTAATACAACAATCTTCAAATTAAACATGTGACAAATAGAAAGAACAACAAAAACGTTAACAACCATTTAACATAAAATGAGAGTGCCAGGCTCACCTAGAGCTCCTGTGGGGAAAGAGCATGGCAGAGAAACCCACGATCGTTGCTCTTACCACCCAAATATAAGTACAAAACAACTGCTAACCAAAGGTATAAATTAAGATCCTTTGCTAATGATAAATAAGACAAATCTCATTTAATGTGTCACTAAATATCATCTGTTACCTCATATTAGTCATACACACTTCCAAGTAAAAATGAAGAGGTTTGGTGTTAGTTAGCCGGCAGAGCCGGAAGGTACTGGAGTCCCATACGGGAGGCGATCCAGCTATAGTTGAGATTTCGGAAGATCCTTCATAATACTGGAGTCCCATACGGGAGGCAATCGAGTTTAATCCAGATTCGTTCCGCACGGGCGAAAATGTCAGTAAACTCAACAAGGCTCGTATAGGCGTATGACATAAAGTGAGCACAAGAAATCAAAGAACAATCTAATCATGATAAAACAAGTTAAATGTGAAACAAAGAAGTCGTTAATGCAATACCTGGGCAGTCACGACAATATACATATTTTAACATGTAATAAATAATGAGCAATCTTTAATAATAATTGTAACAATTTTATATTAGAAAAATACACACCCCTGAGCGTAAGACAATGAAGGCTAAACATATACAGAATTATTATCATGAAACATCTAGGTTTTTCGAACAACGTTATCATGACAAAAACAAGTTAGATGTGAAACAAAGGAGCCATTATTGCAATGTCCGGGCGTCCACACAATATATATATTTTAACATGAAACAAACAATGAGCAATCGCCAACAATAACTTCAACAATTTCACCCAAGAAAAACACATGCCCCTGAGCACAAAGCAATGGAAACTAAACATACAAATAACCATAATCATGAAACATCTATAACCATCACAATCATAAAACTACATAGAACAACCAACAACAAAGTACCTAGCATAATGGAAGAAAGTGCGATAATTAACGGCATTAGACGTAAGTGTGGCACCAGCATAACTGTGTGCGTGTTCTTACTCAAATATATTGCAAATTTCAGTCCACTTTGGTATTATTTACTAATATTAATTATTATCTTCTGTACATTAACTGTAAAAAATTTAATTTAACAGGGCACCATCACTTAGATAATTACATTTCCTTATTTAATTATTATTAACTAACCACATTTTCTAATTTATTTGTGGGGTATTAGCTGGCATAATAATCCGCTAATGGTTATTTTAGGCTGGTGGGAAGGTTATTAGACTTCCTTACGGAGCTATATGCGTTATGAATATAAATGAGATAATTTTCTGTAGCGTATTCTCGCCACTTCTTACTTTTTTCTGGTTATCCCAAACATCATCTTGCTGACATAATAGCGCACTTTCTGGGCCAAATTTATAAACGTGATATGTTTCTTTCATCATATATTCTTATCGCGCAACTGCAAGCTCTCGCTGTTTGGTGTGCTTTTAAGGAATATATTCTATATATTTTTTGTTTTGTAGTAAAAGCGAAGTTTAATTTTCACTCGTTTATTTGTAGCTTTTTCCTATTGTCTGAATAAAGTTTCCTTGGAGGAAAAACGTAGATCCATATATCTTTAGAAGTCAATGAAATTGTAATGGTATGTTAAAAAAGTGTTATTTTTTATTTCATTAATGTGAAAATTTATATGTATATGCAGTCATTTTTTCTGTCCTCTTCTTAAGCACATCTTAAAGAAAACAAAATATTTTTTTTTTGCAAAAACATTACTCTGTTAAATTTTTCATATAGCTTTAGTTTTTGATTATTATTCATAAACATAACAATTGATTTTTTTACATACAGGGACATAATTTCAGGGATGTATGTAACTATTTTATTCCCTAACTTTAATGATCCATGATATTTAAAATTGAGCGTTATCCCGTTATGTAGGAAAAGAAGTTATTATTTGATATCAAAATCAGCACATGTAATGTCCTCTAAGAGCTACATTAATATGTTCAGATCAATATTTCCAAAACTACCTTAGTTGTAACTCTAACTTTCCTTAATATCAATATTTGAACTAATATGAACTAATATAAGTTTAGTCGATGAGGTATTCGCC